CCGAGTGGCCAATGACTACGGTAACAGAATTTACTTTGGTTCTCCTATGAGTGATGTGGTGAGCTTGATTCTTGATGCGGATTCAGATGGTTGGTCGGTCCATGATTGGCCATATACTTCGGTCGATGTTGCGCACCATCGTTACTTATCTCGGGTATCCCCTAAAACTCCTAGACCTTGGTTCTTAGGTATGGACCTTCCCAGAAAATGGATCAATTCAATTACCAGGCTACGCTCGGGGCATATATGTACAGATGATCATTTTCAAAGAATGAATTGGAATATAGCTCCTGGTTGTTCATGTGGTTCCGATTGGAAGGACTTGGACCATCTGATTTATGATTGTCCAATTTTGAAACCTCATAGAGTGAATTTGTTTAATTATTTGTCTCGTAGGTGCCCAGGGGTCAGCCTGACACTAAGAAATTTCCGGGTAACTAAATTAATATTTAACCCGGATGCAGAACTGGTCAGGGAATTGGGTTCCTTTTTATGCACTGGGGGCTTATTTGTCTAAATTCATGGCTTTGGTCTGGATTTTTGAGGAGTGGATTGAGCTTTTTGACCATCCACTCCGCTCCCTAAGATACCTGGTGCTCAAACACCAAAATGACCTAAAGCTGGATACACGGCGCAAAGGCTCTGATGTGTTGTGGAAGGGACCTTACTCACTCGGTTTACATGTGGAGGCAGAGGATACATAGATCTTTACTTTAAAATTAACTTCAACTGATTCTACCTTTGTTCATTGTTCTGATAGTTTGCTTAGTCAAGAAGTCATTCAAAGGGAAGAAGAAGAAGAAAAGAGAAACTGGAGGCACAAAGAAATAATTCAAAATTATCACAATTCGAGATATCAAAATAGTCTTCCCACAAAGCACTTAATATTTCCTAAATATTTTTGGAATATTTCACTGAAAGATTTGAAATATTCCAATGAAATTTTCTTGAAATATTGTTGCAAACAGGAAAATGTCCGCCTTTCAGGAAATATTTCATTGAAATATTTTAGAAATTTTCAATTTTAATAATGATGCGCACTGGTCAATCTCAGTTTCTGTGGCTTTTACAGCTGCGCAGTAGGTTTTAATTTTCTAGGATACTAGGGTGTTAAACATTTATGAAAATACCGATTGATTTCGTATTTTGAAAAAATTCTAACTTTCGGTGAAATATTTCCTAAATATTGCAGGAATTTTTATGTTTAATATTGCAGAAATATGAATGTGCAATATTTCAGAAAATTGCATGGCAATATTTCCACAAAGGCGGACATTTTCCTGCCTGCAACAATATTTCAAGAAAATTTCATTGGAATATTTCAAATCTTTCAGTGAAATATTCCAAAAATATTTAGGAAATATTAAGTGCTGTGTGGGTTCCTTTTACTCGGACTGCCGAGTCCCAATTTTTGGTTAACGGGAGGTTGGTTCGCGAAACTATATTCGAAAAGATTTTCATTTTGTAAATTCAATAAAATATGAAATTTTAGAAAAAGAGATTAATAAATTTCTTTGTTCAATTTTTAAACATGATAAAAATTTAATTTAGACTCAATATAATATCAAAAATATATTCATAACAAAAAACTTGTTTACTTATTCTTATAAAATAGGGGAATAGTGTCAGGGTTGGACACTTGTCAGGGTTGGATACTTGGCTTTTTTTAAATAAGAAAACTAGCGCCACCTATGTGCGTATGTGACAAATCTTCTAGTAGTGTAACCTAACTTTTTGTGGCATTACATTTTTGAAGAATCAAAAGTAGCGTCTCCTGTGACTTTGGTGCAATACGATCGTGAAATTAGCACATCTACCAATATGAATGAGAATTTTACTATATGGAATCGTTTGGTAATTTTATGGTAGCGTTTGGTATTCACTTTTGATTGTTTGGTAGTTAATATATACAACAGTATTATAACATTCACTCTGCAGTGCTATTTTCACGTTGGCACAGCAATTTAAATATATCCTAAAAATTTCAACGTGAATCGTTTGGTAATCGTTTGGTAGTGTTCGGAAATCAGTTTTTTCCGATTGGTAGTCTAAATTTAATAGAATAAATAATTTATTAAGGTGCACTTTCACGTTACTGTATAGCGGAAAGAAAAAACAAACAACTCTGACGACGCAAGCACAGAAATTGCATTGCATAGAAAACAGCCGCGACGTTCAAAAATTACAATTAAATATTCTAAACAAAAAAAAATTTGATGCCAAATTAAATGTACAAAATATTACTGCTCAAAATAATTATTACCAATTATATGTTTAATATGAAATTGCACGGAAAAAAATTTTCTGTGGAATTTACAGAAACTCCTGCGCCATCTACTGATGTTTCTCCAAATAGAAAAATATGTTGAATCATTGGCATTAAAATCTGTTAATTCTACAAGTTTGAGCTACAGTTCTTAAAAACTGTTGAGTGACCAAATTATGTATAGTATATGGGGATAATATATATTTGGTAGAGTATTTCTTATAGGTTATATTCTCCTCCGAATACATTAAATTCGCGGAACATTATTGTATAAATTAGTATAACTTCTATGTAAATAAATTCATCCTTCAATAATTTTCTAACAAAAAAAATGAGGAGCAAGTTTTCAAAACTTATAATAAATCCACTTTTTCTTATGTCGAGAAATTGAAACAAACGACTTTTCTCACTTAATCACTACAGTTAATTTTAAAATAAAAAATTTGTAATAATTTATTTCTATAATAATGTTTATATACTTAAGACGTTTCCTTTTTAATTAAACTTTCTTCCCGACACTATGATAATAATAAAAACACTAAATTCGCCTTAACCTCTCGCACTCAATCGTACTCAGCCTTAGTCGAATCACTGCATTGTTTTCGCGCATGCGTTAAATCCTTACAGAAAATATCTGTAGAATTAACAGATTTAGGAACATGTAAAATCTCTAAATCGATGTTAAAGAATTACCAGAAAATTTTTTTCCGTGTGTGAATATTAAACAATAAAAAAAAATGATCACAAAAATTATTTAAAACAAATCCACGATTTAATTAAAGGATTTCCTAAGACTCCTATTCCTAGGACCCTGAAAATGATTGGTACTGGAATAAAAACATTAGGTACCCCCCCTAATTGAAGATTTGATTTTTTAAATTAACTATTGTTAAATAAAAATTGCAGTGCTGCGACAATTATTAATCTATTCGATTGAATCTTTCTCCCTCTCCTTCCAAGGACCCAGCAGATGATTGGTATTGGAATAAAAACATTTGGTACCCCCCATAATTGAAGATTTAATTTTTTTAATTGACTACTGTTAATTAAAAATTGCAGGGCTGCTGCAATTATTAATTTACTCGACTGAATCTTTCTCCCTCTCCTTCCTAGGACCCAGCAGATGATTGGTACTGGAATAGAAACATTTGGTACCCCCCCCCCTAATTGAAGATTTAATTTTTTTAATTGACTACTGTTAATTAAAAATTGCAGTGCTGCGACAATTATTAATTTATTCGACTGAATCTTTCTCCCTCTCCTTCCTAGGACCCAGCAGATGATTGGTACTAGAATTATTAATTTATTCGACTGAATCTTTCTTCCTTTCCTTCGTAAAACTCTGCAGATGATTGGTACTAGAATAGAAACATTTGGTACCACCCCTAATTGAAGATTTAATTTTTTAAATTAACTACTGTTAATTAAAAATTGCAGTGCTGCGACAATTATTAATTTATTCGACTGAATCTTTCTTCCTTTCCTTCGTAAGACCCTGCAGATGATTGGTACTAGAATAGAAACATTTGGTACCCCCCCTAATTGAAGATTTAATTTTTTTAATTGACTACTGTTAATTAAAAATTGCAGGGCTGCTACAATTATTAATTTATTCGACTGAATCTTTCTCCCTCTCCATCCTAGGACCCAGAAGATGATTGGTACTGGAATAGAAACATTTGGTACCCCCCCTAATTGAAGATTTAATTTTTTTAATTAACTACTGTTAACCCGTTGTCTGTCGCTGACGCATATATGCGCAACTTAAAAAGAGTGATAAAAAATATCGCCAATATTCCTGAAACTTGTTACACGGACGTTTTTGAGGTCTCTGATTCCAAATCTGATATTGAAAGTAGTTACTCGGGATTTTTTATGATCGCTGATTGGAAATCTGATATTACTTTTCTAAAATTAAAAATGTCGGATCTAATGTGGTGGACCACAAAATTAAACAGTAATCGAATTCGGTTAAAAATTGTTACTCGATGGTAATTTGGGTTGCTGATTACGAATCTGACATGAGTTTTTTAAAACTCGAAATGGTTGAACCAATATAACAATTATTGAAAGACAGCTTATCTTAGTTATACCAAAGTTTTTGATAAAATCCAACTTAGTTAAATATCCTGACATTAGCTGGTGAATTTAGATTTTATTCTATAAAATGTTTCAAATACACGAACCCAGAATGTGCCACGAGGAGGCTGTCATAGCATTTCACTGTATACCAAATTTTATAAAAATCCATAAAAATTTTTTTCAACACACTTTTGGCCCAAAGAGTGGATATCTTGTCGACAGCTAAGGGGTTAATTAAAAATTGCAGTGCTACGAAAATGACAATCTTTTTTTAATATTTTATCAATTTTATAGAACTTCTTTTTTAACATATAGTTGATTTAAATATACATATAACATAGCCATACTTAAAATTATCAACTTTGTAAGTATCACAAGTGTTTTTGTTTAACTTTATAATTTTCAACAGCTTTTTTTGCCTTTGTCACAATTTTGAACATTTTTTTATGAATGTAGCAAACAAGTTTTTAATAACTACTTAAAATTTTCAACTTCTTACGTATCACAAATAATTTTCTTTAGCATTAAAATTAGCGATAGCTTTCTTTGTCTTTGGCAAAAATTTAAATATTTTTTTATCAATGTAACTAACATGTTCTTAATAATTACTTAAAATTACACAAATTTAAATATTTTTTGATGAATGTGACAAACAAGTTCTTAATATTTACTTAAAATTACCAATTTTATAAGTATCATTAGTGATTTCGTTCAACATTAGAATTGAGGATAAATAACAAATAAATTAGAATTCGGTTTCGTTTTTTATATAAATAATTGCGTGTGGTGAAATATCTTCTTTTTTCTTAAATTGAGTGACAGTTTTTGCGCAGTCGTTATACAACTCCCAGCGTCCACTTGATCGTCGGCATATTGCCATGTAATGATTGCCATCAACATGTACAATAATTCCTCCAAATCTAAAATTTATAATATGTAGTATTTCAATTTTTAATTAATAACATTTCGAAATTAAGCTTTTTGACTCCAGCTTATATTTCTAAATTATAAAAAGTAATTAAAAGAATGATTATTTTTATATGTTTTTAATATTCAATGGAGTAAAACTGACCTGAGAGATTCTTTGTGGATGACAATATTTACTACTATTGGCTGCTTGAAATTGTTTCCATTAGACAAAATTCTGTCCTTTGCTTTTACTACGTTTACTACTTTAGCATTAGTAGCTATTTTTTGCTTGACATTGAAGTCTGGACACGGTCAAAGTATTTCGAAGGTTTCCTTTCCTTAATCTTAAGTGTCCTTTTTATTCGTTCCGACACTATTATGGGATTTGATGATTCTTCACTTTCTACTTTTCCTTTATTTCTCCAGTTTTCGTACTTAAATAAATCAGAATTAGGCAACTTCGGTGACAAACGTAATCCTTCATCGTCGTGATTTGTTTGAATATTAAGAGATTCCATATTAATTGGAGTGCTGTGATGTATGGGAGCACTTATATTTTCATCAAAACTTGGAAGTTCAAAGATCTTGTCATTCACTGGTAAAACTTCAGATATCACCTGATTGCCAGTTATACTATTAATTTCTTGATTAACTTGATTTTTAGGAGATTCGATTAGTGATCCTGGATCAATCTCAATATTCTCATTGAAATCAGAAAGTCGAGTTGCAATTTTCTCCGTTGGCTTTAGATCCTTCGATTTTGTTTTAATACGATTATTTATTTGAACTTTTCCAATTTCCGAAGATGCTATTAATGCATGGGCTTTTAAAGCCCCGAAATGAATTTTAAAAAATTTATCAGCTCGAATTGAACCGTGAACATTATTTAATATATTGTGCTTCACTTCTCCAAACTCAGATTCAACGTAGCAGCTAGTTGGTCTTATAATAACAGAATTAAAATTTCTTCTATTTACCGCGGTTTACAATGGGAATTCTTTGGCTAAATTTAGTACGTGTTTAGAAAATTCCAGAAGAAAATATCCATTTATTCTTGTGTGTTTTGTTTCCTTATTCATTTCTGCTGCTACTTGAATACTTTTCAACCACTCCAAAATAGTTTGGTCGACGTCAGCTTCTTGGTTTAAAAAACATTCAGGATCCATTACATCAAACCCAGAAGCATAAAGCTTTTTAATGCTGCAGTTGAATTTCTCGCTTGCTTCATTTGGAATTAATTTCATAGCCGGATGACTTTCTTCTTTTATAAGCTGTGAAAGTTCTTCTCTGGCCGCCTCAGCTGGAGATGGTAAGGAGTAATCCAATCTGTTCCCATCGTATTTGTGCATTGAAACTACTAAGGTTTTGAATAAAATTAATTCAAACACTTCTAACCGGTCACAGGAAACCATTAAAGCTATGCACCGAAGGTAGAAATCTTTTACATCCAAAATGGATTTTGTGAAGCACTTCAAGCGGCAAAATATTTGTATAAGGTGAGCTACGTCAATTCTTAAGAATGTATTTGAAGGTCGGTCTACTTTTTTATGCAATACATGCTCAAAACATACTTTAATGTATTCTTTCAGGGACATGTTATTGAAAGATAATGACATCGCACCTAAGAGTGCTCAAGAATAATCGGAAACTGCTTCCTTTGGAATTGTTTTCATTGTTTTTAGCCAGTTGTTTAGCCAAAACAAAATGCTGTTTGTGTCTTGAGCTGCTGAAAGTATCTGACCCACAGAAGTTGTGATTTTATTGAAATTGATAACAATTTCGTATAGGAATATTGCGGGTGATTTTATGTTGTCCACTATTTCAATATTTTTTACAAGGCTTCCAGTGCCATCAAGACAGATTGTAGCTGTGTCAGAAAAAAGACGACAGTATTCTTTGAAAACGTATCTTTGCTCTGGAAGTAAATATTGAAGTTGAAATTTATCGGCGGAAACTTGTTCAATGGATCCACAATATGGCGTTCGGTATTTCAGATGGAACAATATTAAAATAGGGTTATTACCTTCCTTGACATTTACATTTAATTCCTTATCCTTACATTCTTGAAGCAATTTTCGTAACACATCATTCTTATATAAAGTTGGTGCAGGCAAATCACCGATGTTTTGAACATCCAAAGCGATTTTGCGTCACGTATTTGCAGCACCATCTTTCATAACCATTTTTCCTATTTCTTGACGCTTCTGAAACCGTAGTTCCCTTTTCAATTCTTCATGCTGTTCATCCATTCTTGTGTCACGACATTTTACCTGTAACCATAGGTCGGATCCTTCTATTGGCTTGTCTTGTACAGAAGCAAAAAATTCGTTATTGCATTTTGTACTCTTGCATTTTCCAATTATGCGAAGAAAGGGCGTTAGATCTTCTAGAGAAATTGTATGCTTTTTAAATGAAAAAGCACAAGGCAGGCGGTATTGCTTCCAGAATTCTTCAGCAATTATGTCTGCCCATATGCCAGGAGGCAAAATTAAAAACTTTCTTCCATTGTAATTTTTCGTAATTGGTTTCATTTTTTCCCACAATTCAACGCGAATTATAAGATCGAAAAATTGTTGTCCTCCTACTAAATGAACAGGAAATGCTTCAAAGTCCTCATCAGAAATTTTACCATTTTCATCAGTCGATTGCTCATGTTGCACCAAAAAAGTAGATTCTTGTACACTTTGGATAGAAGATTTTCTTTTATCCAAAATCGCATTGTCTACAACCAGGGCCGGATTTATATGCATGCAAAATAAGCAGTTGCTTAGGGCCCCGGCTTGCCGGGGGCCCCCAAATTTGTCTAGGTTAAATTTTTTTTCAATTTTTAAATTTAAGTGGTAATTTAAATTTATTGTAAACTTGAATTTAAAATTTCACTTTAATCATTTATTTCAAAATAAGTAAACAAAAACATCAATAATTTTTTCAATATAATTAAAATTCTTTGTATTTTTCTATACAGAATTGTGGTCAACAATTAATCTCGTTACAATGTTTCTGTTTTTTTATAATCTTATTTCTTCTCGTCCTTACGAAAAAGAGAACATTAGCATATCACGCCATCTACATTGGTAAGGAATCACTATTCCGAAGTTTTCACCAAGATAACTCAGCCCTGCAGCCCTGTCATGACTATGTTGATCAGCTGGCATCAGAAAATTATCATGGCGCATCAGTATTAACATGAAGGTTGGGATTCCGTGTTTGTACGTAGGAGAGAGTGGTTGTGTTTTCACTGCTCTCCCTTTTATTTCTGTGTTAATTTTGTGTGCGGGAAATTTTTCTCGCTGTCTTCCGATATTTGATTAATTGTGTGGCTACGGCTATTTGGTGTTTTATTTTGTTTCTTTTTTCCTTATAAAAAGGTTTTTTTTCTTTCTCCCCTTGCTACGTGTTGCTGTTGGATCTCGGATTTGATCTTGCTAGTTTTGACTGCTTTGCCGATTTTAACACATGGTCAGAGAAATTTTCTACCGGCATAAATAAGCCTGAGATTTGTTAAGGTCATCTGCTTATATTGTTTTCAACACTCAAGGTCGGATTTTGTTGTTTACTTTTTGCAACTTATCAATTATTATATTCATAATATCTTTCCTTAATTATCTGGATTCCAATATCGTTCCTATTGAAGCTATTATTTTTTTTTCCTGCCTATATTTTCCTTTTTGCCTATATTTCGCTTTGCTTTTTCTTGCTTACACCTGGCTTCAATAAATAAATTCATTTTGTTTTTATTCTTAACTATTTAATAACAATAATTTATCTTTCCAGGCTATAGGATGATATCCTATTATATTGAAATCTTCATGAATTATAATTTTAATTGATTTTATTATGCACGTTTAATTGCTTTGGAGGTTGGAATTTGCAATTTATTTATTCACATTTATTTTATTTTATTTTTTTTCTTTTTTCTAATATTGAATTTATTTTAAGATGTCTTCGAATTTATCGGCTGCTGGTGAGATGTCCTCTGGTGTGATAAGTGCTGCGAGAGTGAACCCTGGACCAGGACGAGGCAGAGGCCTTACTGTTTCTGGACGCTCTGGATTGTCAAATCCTAACAAAAGGCAATTTTCTCGGACTTCTGGTGGTACTTCCCGTGACACATCTGGTTCTCCTCGCACTACTTCGAAGACTGTTAAGTCTTTGAATTCTACGAATTCCAAAACTAAAAAGAAAATTAATGATCCGGTTGGAGTTCCTTTACCTCCTTCGGACTCTTCGTCGGATTCTCCTTCCTCTATATGTAAGAAGAGGCAATTGTTAACTGATGATCATTCTTATATATCTCCGGAAGTTAATCCCGGGGATACGTTCGAGATAGATAGAGATATACAGAGCAATCCTTTAACTGGGAATTTTTCGGTTGGGGGGGGGTGATATTCAGACTGGGATATTTGGGGGAAATAATGAAAAACAATTGTCTGAGCCTCTGTTTGATGGCATTGATGACCTCTCTGCAGGAAATGATAGGGGTTCGAATAATTCATTTTTCGAGGGTTTCCCTCCATCGGGCATTGACTCGGGTATTGAATCTCATGATAGTTTTGCTACTGGGGATGGGACTAGTCAGGGGGACTCATATAGGGTTAGAAGACAGAAATTGGATGAGTTTCTTAAGAATCCTATTTATTTCTGTTCTAGTCCAAGAGATAAAGTAGAGTCTGCTAGATATTCGGACAAATCAAATGGTCCTTTCCTTGTACTTGTCGAATCGAAGTATCCTAAGAATCTTATTGGTAAATATGACCCATTTGCTACGGCTGATCTGATCGAATCAGATATATCAGGACCTAAAAAGATTTTCAAAACGGGAATAAATCAGATTAAGGTTATCTGTGAAAGCTGGAGAGATGCTAATGCACTTGTGGACTCTAGGGATCTTTCTCTGAAATACAAAGTGCATATTCCACTAAATCAATTGTCGAGGAGGGGTTTCTGCAGAGACATTCCTCCTTCGAGATCGGTTTCTCTGATTAGAGACAATTTGGATCTCGATACGAAGAGTAGTTTGACCTCTATTAAAAGATGCTTTGATAATAATTATAGTATTACTGATAGAGTCGAGTTTACTTTTTGCACTACCTATGTACCGAGAATTATCTTCTTGAAGGATTATGCTTTGACCTTGGCTCCGATTATCCCTAGACCTCCTCGTTGTTACAAGTGCCAACGTTTTTCACACATTGCTGATCAGTGTAGGTCTACACACCCTGTCTGTTCTCACTGTGCTGGCAATCACAGATTTAATTTTTGTTACAATAGAAACTCCCCCCCTACTTGTACTAATTGTAATGGACCACATGATGCAGTGGATGTCAACTGTCCTGTATACAACTTCGAATTTGAAATTACTAGAAATCGTTACATTAACAATTGTAATAGGAGAGAGGCTCTCGAATCCCTATGCTCAAGTGGATCTCCGGATATCAGTAGAAGGGCTATTAGAGCTTTGGAGTATTTCGAATCTGTTAGAGACATCCCACACGATCTTAACAGTCGTGATCAACCTGTGACTGGGAATTACAATTCTAACGTGGCTTTCTCGGCGGCTGAAGGCTTGATGTTTCTTAGTCAATACGGGGAGGATTGATGGGAAGATCCCTTATTTGTTTATTTGTTTTATATACATTATTTTCCTGAATTTCTCTTAGTTGTGTTAATTTAAATCTTGTATTCCAACCTCTTCATTGTTTTCATTGAAATTTGTTTGTTTGTCTTAAAATTTACAATCAAATTATTGGTCATCGTTTACGTTTAACATTATTATTTTATTGTTGTACCTTAATCTTGAATATGGTTGATAATAATCAACCTTTAAGATTTGGTACGTGGAATGCGTGTAGTATAGTCAATAAAAAGGCTGAAGTTGAAGCTTTGCTTCATCAACATAATTTGGATGTCTTGGCCATTTCGGAAACTTGGTTGTCAGATTCAGTTCCAGTATGGGAGGTTTTCGGTTTTAATACTTTTAGATCCGATCGAAATTCTTTTGGTGGTGGTACGTTGCTTTTAATTAGGGATAAGATTGTTGTTAATCCTATTGTCTTTCGTTCGGATTTTTCAGAGTTTTTTAATGCTGTAGGTGTTATGATTGAAACAGATTTAGGTAAACGTGTTATTATTTCTATATATGCACCTCCTGGGAACAATATTCCATTACAGGCTTGGTTAGGCTTTTTTAATGAATTTGTAAACCTCTGTCCAGTAATTATCTGTGGCGACTTTAATGCGCACTCGTTTTCTTGGGGGGCTTCCTTTAACTCTCCCAGGGGATCTGATTTGAAGGAAGTTTTTGAATTCTATAATTTATTACCCCTCAACGATTCCGTTCCGACGAGAATTGATAGAGCTGGTAGAACCAACAATAATGTTGATCTTATAGTGGTTTCAGATTCTTTGGTTTCCCAAGTGTCTTGTGAGGTTTCGAATGATAGTTATGGATCAGACCATCTTCTGGTTTTGGCTAATTTCGATATTCGACCTAAATTTGTTGGGTCCAACTCTACTAGAATTAATTTTAAAAATGTTGATTGGTCAAGTATTGAGGATTTATTCAGTAGTTTGGTTGGAGACTTGGAGGTTTCGCTTGAAGGGGGCACTCCTCTAGATCAAGTCTATGAAAATTTATTATCCTCATTGATAGGAATTTTGGAAGACAATGGTGCATTTAAATCTACTTCACATCCGGGTTTTAGAAAGGTCGAGCCCCTTTGGTGGGATGTTGAGTGTGAGAGGGCTATTGAGAGAAGAAGAGAGGCTAGGAAGGACTGGCTTTATGATCAGAGTGACTTTTTAAGAAATAGATATAAAGAAATTGATCAGGAAGTTAAGTGGTTCTTGAGAAAGAAAAAAAGGATTCCTTCATTCATTATTGTAGTTCCATTTCTCCTTCAGAAGATCATAATAAAATTTGGAAATCTGTCAAGTCTTTCCTTAACAAAAACTCTCCTTCTCACACTAATATCACTAACGATATCGACTCAGAAACTTTTAAATTGTTAAAGTCTGAGTTAGTTAACGGGGACATTCCTCCGGAGGATTCTCCTCCGTTGACTGAAGAATATGATCAGGGTTTTGGTAATGATGTCTTTAATCTCCCTTTTTCACTCTTGGAGTTTTCTATGGCTCTGAACGATTGCAAAAAAAAGTCTGCACCAGGCTTGGATGGGATTTCCTACGAATTACTGTTGAAATTTCCTATCTGTGTTAGAGGATTTATTTTTAAGCTTTTTAACTCTATGTTTGTTTCTTCCTGTTTCCCTGAATCTTGGAGAAGCACTAAAGTTATTTTTATCGCTAAGCCTGGTGGTAAAGGCTTTCGTCCTATTTCTTTAACGTCTTCCTTATGTAAGTTATTCGAAAAACTTATTCAAAAAAGAATTGAATACCTCGCTGAAAAGAAGAATTGGATACCTCCATCTCAATATGGCTTTAGGAAGGGAAGATCAGTTTTAGACTGTGTTTCCGCTGTAACGTCTGACATTTCCAATGGCTTTGTCAATAAAAAAAGTACTTTATCCTTAGCTATAGATATTAAAGGTGCATTTAATAACGTGATACCAAAATTTTTACTGGAACAGTTGAGAGATTTAAAAACCCCGTTTAGATTGTATAATTTTATCAATTTTCTTATAAGTAAAAGGAATTTATATTTCCATTCAGATGTTGACAATTGTGAAGTCTCAGGAATTGGAGTCCCACAAGGTGGTGTTTTGTCACCCATATTATTTAATATTTATTTGAGAGGTCTTTTTAACCTTTTGCCAGTTGGTGTTAAGGGTGCTATGTATACAGATGACTTATTGATATATGTCAGATTTGATTCCGTCCAGGATGCTTTGAATTCACTGAAGTCTGCTGTCCAAGCTCTGTCAGATTGGTTGGGGGACTTAGGTTTGTCAATTTCAGTTCATAAATGTCAACTAGCACTTTTTTCCCGTTCTAATTTGTCCGAAGAAGATATTGTATTAACGATTAACGATCATTCTATTCGAGCTGAAAAAACAATACTATATCTGGGGATTCTTCTGGATAAGGGTTTGACCTGGTTACCACATATAAAATACATTGCAGCAAAAGCCAGTAAAGCTATTAATATTTTGAAGGCCATGGCCAAAGTGTCTTGGGGAGCTCATCCTGCGTCTTTGCTTTTGGCCTACAGGGGATTAATTAGAGCTCATTTGGAGTGGGGGGCTCAATTATTTGTCAGTGCGGGTCTGAGTAATCTCAAAATTTTAGATAGGGTCCAATATGAGGCATTACGAGTAGTATTGGGGTGTATGGGATCTACACCTGTGAGTATTCTTCTGTCTGAATGTAATGAGCCTCCTCTATCTTTGCGTAGAAGGCTGTTATTGGAAAAATTCTTAATTCGATGCTTTTCTTGGAAAAGGAATCCACTAATTCCTAGACTACACTTGTTATATGAAAAATCATTAACTAAAAGAGGAAGAGAGATAAAGTTTGAGAGGTTCCCTTTGTTTGAGGGATTCTGTAGACTCAGAAAATTTGTTAGTGGAAGTATCAGAACTGATAATGTTGCTTATTTTGATCTATCCTGGGAAATGTTAACCCAAGAATTTCGTTTTATTTCAGTAAACAGTGTTGAACTCAAAAGCTCTCAGAATCCTGATGCTTGGCTAAATGAGTTCTTACTGACTGAGATTGGGGAGGGCGTTAGAGTCTTTTCTGATGGAGCCAAAGGCAAGAATAATGGTAGATCAAGTGCTTCTTATTTTGTCCCTTCACTTGATATAGAATTTGGTGTTAGATTGAGTAATGACTGCTCAATTATCTCTGCTGAACTGTATGGAATTTTCTCAGCATTGAAATTTGTTCTTTCCTCTAACTTGGAGTCATTTATTGTCCTAGCAGATTCTAAATTATCTTTGGAGAGTATAAGAGATGTTTTTCACACTAAATCTCCTCATCCCTTGGTCCTTAAAGTTAAGAATTTATTATTTGAGATTTTAAGCAAGAATAAAAAGATAAATTTTGTATGGATTCCCTCACATTCAGGTATTTCTGGTAACCTTGAGGCTGACAGGATTGCTAAATTTTTTCTTTCTCTGGAATTGGAAAGATTCTCTGGTACTCCTTTATGCGACTATAAATGTATAGTTGAAAAAAGATATCAATCTCTATATAAGGAGCATTGGCCTTATGAAAGAAAACCTGGTTCAGCTATTACATACTTTGGAAAAGTTCGTTTTGAGAGTATAAGACCATGGTTTGTTGGGATTGATGCCATTAATACATTCACAAGGATGAGGACATCTCACATCTGTCTATAAAAAAGTTGCCTAAAATAACAGATTTTTTAAAAAATCCGCCAACGAAGGTATTTACCTTTATAAATATAAATTAATGACGACGTATACTGTAATATTTAAGAATCTTATTTTTTCTTGACTTACTTTTTTCAATAGGAATCATCAAATAGCAGCAATGATTCACATGCATCGAATGTTATTGCTATAGATCCTGAAATTTGTGAAAATATAAATGACTCATTGTCCAACAAAAATGAAATTCAGGATAGTAAAGAAAGTTCCCAACTCGAAAATTTGGAAAATTCTCAGCTCAGCATTTCTTCACTTTTAAATCCTCTTCAGAATGAGTCTCTTGTCAGTGTTGAAAAAGTGGAATCTTTGCATAATGTTCAATGTGCAGATGTTGGTCTGTGGACCCAATTGTCTCCTACTGATATTGAATATTGGGTGAAAAAAGGACCTTTGGAATGTCAACATTGGAATGGACCATTTGAAAAATCCAAACGCGAATTTCCTAATGCAACTCGTTACTGTCCGAAAAGTATATTTCGGACTGGAGAAATTCAAAAATTAGCGTTGAAAACCACGAAAATTCTAAAAACCACAGGGAAAATTTGGTGAAATTTTTAGAAAGAAATCGGGACAATTTGTGTTTGAAGTTCGAATACCAAATAAGTAAAGAACAAAAATATTGGAAAGAAGTTTTACGTCGTGTAATCGCAGTTGTGTGCACTTTATCAGAACGTGGTTTGTCATTCAGAGGAACCGAAGAAAAATTTGGCTCGCCAAGCAATGAAAATTTTTAAGGTCTTCTAGAATTAATTGCTTTGTTCGATCCTTTCCTTGCCAATCACATTAAACAATACGGAAATTCTGGTTCTGGACATACATTGTATTTATCAAAGACAACATGTGATGAAATTGTTCATTTGCTGGCTGTCGAGGTTAGAAAATCAATTTTACATGATGTGAAAGTTGCAGGATATTTTAGTATATCTGTGGATTCAACTCGAGATTTATCACACGTTGATCAAACCACTCTTATCATTCGATATGTTTCGCCAGCTACTGGAAAACCAGTTGAGAGATTTTTGACATATCTAAATATTGACACCCATACCGGTGAAAAGCAAGCTCAAGCTGTAGTTTCATATCTGGAAGATGATTGTCACATTGATTTCAGTAAGTGTAGAGGGCAATCTCATGATAATGCTGCTAACATGTCTGGTAAAAACAAAGGCATGCAAAGAAAAATTCGTGATATAAATGACTACGCCTTGTATGTTCCTTGCGCTGGTCATTCCCTGAATCTTGTTGGTCGTGCATCAGTTGATAGTTGTTTAAAAGCTGTTCGTTTTTTTTGCTATTGTTCAGGAACTTTACCTATTTTTTTCAGCATCTACGAAACGATGGTCGTTACTGAATGATACTATGAAAAAAAATGATAAAACTCTACATCTTCAACGACTTTCGGATACACGTTGGAATGCCCACGCAAAATCTTTTGCTGCTATAATTACAAGTTACGATGAAATTGTTGAAACGCTGTATGAAATTATCGAAGAAAATCAACAGTCGTGGGATTGTAGAAATGATGCAGTCTGAATCGTTGGAAAAATGGAAGAATTTGAATTCATTTTTATGTTAGAATTTTGGCATAAAATTTTAAATGAATTTGAGAAAACTTCAAAGTCCCTACAGAATTCAGAAGTCACAATAAGTACAACTTCAAACTTATACTCTTCTCTGGCTCAATTGGTGCAAACTTTTCGTGATAACTTTGATAATATTGAATCGGCGGCAAAAGAAAAACTCCCTGATGTAGATTACAAATCTGCAACAACAAGAAGAAGGAAAAGAAAGAAACAAGTTAATGATGGGAATACTATAGATGCTGACGAAACTCTTTCTCCACGAGATAAATTCCGGATTCAGGCGTTTTATCCAATGGTCGATGCACTTAGCACCAATTTAGAAAAACGATCTAAAATTTACAGTGAAATTTCAGAAATGTTCTCATGTTTTACTGATTTAAATGCTAGTCTGAGCGATATTCAAAAAGGTATAGATTCATTGAAAGAGAAATACTCGGAGGATGTGCAAAAAGATTTTGCTCATGAACTAGATCATTTTCATTTGTATGTAAAAAAACATCATTCGGAAAAAAGAAACATATCTCATGAAATGCTTTATGAAATCATTGTTTGTGACAAAATAGAAGTTGCTTTTCCAAACGTTGAAGCTATTCTACGCTTGTTTTTGAGTCTCATGGTAACTAACTGTACCGGCGAAAGATCGTTTTCCAAATTAAGGCGAATTAAAAACTATTTGCGCACTACCATGTCTCAAGAAAGACTCACAGATTTGACAATTTTATGTATGGAGTACGACATACTCCGAAGTTTAAATTTCGATGACATTATTGAGAAATTCTCACTTTCAAAAGCTCGAAAAAGTATATAAATAATTATTTTTAAAATTTATTATTTTATTAATAAATGTTTTTAAATAAAGATTAAAAAATGTTTAATAACAAGTTATTCTTCTAACGAAATTGAAATACATGTGATATTAAAATTTATTTAAGTTGTCCAATTTTTTATCTCAAATTTCATAAGGGCTGTGTGCTGAGGGCCCCTTTTTTGGTAACTACTGCCCAAAGCTTAGGGCCCCCGAGGGTGTAAATCCGGCCCTGATTCTATTAAATTTAGACTACCAATCGGAAAAAACTGATTACCAAACACTACCAAACGATTACCAAACGATTCACGTTGAAATTTTTAGGATATATTTAAATTGCTGTGCCAACGTCAAAATAGCACTGCAGAGTGAATGTTATAATACTGTTGTATATATTAACTACCAAACAATCAAAAGTGAATACCAAACGCTACCATAAAATTACCAAACGATTCCATATAGTAAAATTGTCATTCATATTGGTAGATGTGCTAATTTCACGATTGTCTTCTAGTTAGGGTTGAACACTTTATACAGTTAGGGTTGGACACCCATATTAATTATGAATTTGACACAATTTATAAATAAATTTTATTTTATTGATATTTTAGTGCAAAATTGTGCCAAAGATATTAGAAAAATAATACTTAAATTGTATAAATTTTGTTCATCATTTCATTGAGTTATTTGGAACAATAAAGCGTTATTTTTTGTAATTTCAGTTCATTCCTTTTTTAAACCCATGAAGCTTTACAATTTGTAAACAATAAGTAAAGATAAACATGAAAAAATAAGAATAAAAAACATTACAAATGTTATTTTACGTTTTTACCAATAATGCGTTTCGATTTTCAAAAAGTGTCCAACCCTGACTGAAAAGTCCAACCCTGACTAGATTTTTTTTTAAATGTTTATAACTTTTTTAATTTTGGACCAATCAATTTACGGTCCACATCAAAAGTGTTCCTCTTTTGTAGATTTTTCCACCCTAATACCACAATTGACTGAATTTATCTAAACAAAATATTTATAAACAAAAAACCAAAACTGTGTCCAACCCTGACACTATTCCCCTAATTAATTAAATTCAAAAGAAAAATTAAATCAGATTCATTATTAGAAAAATCAAGCAAAAAATAATTTTAAAATAACATTCATAAATGTAATATAAAATTTTACCATAGAGAATTACAAAATTAATAGAATCAAAATGTCCGTTGGCAACGAATTTCCAATAGAGATTTCCATACAATTCCTTCTTTTTATTAAATTAATTTCCTTTCTTTATTAATTATATTAAATTTTCTTTTCCGAATTGATGTTATACTATATATTTTCTTCAAAATTATTATCAAGATTCCAATATTTAAAAGAAATGATTAAAATACAAAAATGTCTGCTTTATACGAGATCACATTAAAGAATCAATAAAAAAATGGTGTTTGTTTTCTCCTAAGAGATTTCGTTACCAACCAAAAAAAAATGAATATCAAAAAGAACATTAATAAATCGCGACAAAAAAAATGAATTCGACGATCGGCAAAAAGGTTTTCTCATGAATCTTGATGCCGATTGGTCCAAATCAAAAAAGGTCCGAAAATTCAAATTTGATAAAAAAAATATCTTCATAAAGTTAATTTTGTTTTCTTGAATAAAATAATATGACTTTTTCTTGATTAACGATTTTAATATGTTAATCCGACGCAAGATGGTGAATCCTTATAATTCTTCTCCAATGTAAATATTAATGAATTCGGAATTATTATTGAAATTTTTTAAAGATGATGAATTTCTTGTTTCAGTCCAAGTAGCACGGAATATTCGTTGAATGTCACGGTGATATCGAGTGGGAATATACCTGTGACATCCAGGCGATATCAAAATGTCCGCTTCATGGGGACATTCCACGGTGATATTCCTGTGACATTCGCGTGATATTTGTATGATACTGAGGGAATATTCCCGTAAAATTTATATAATTTTATTAAGGGGATATTCCTGTGATATTGAGCGAAATATTCCTGTGATATTGAGGGAATATCCCTGTGATATTGAGAGAATATTCCTGTAATTTTGAAAATTCTAAAATTTTGTTTGTTTTGAATATTTAAATAAATAAATAAATGGAAAAAAATAGAAAATTTTTTTTTCGAATTTTGTAAATTATCTCATTAATATCACTGGAATATTCCCTCAATATCAAAGGAATATTACCTCAATATCACAGGAATATTCTACTCAATATCATAGGGATATCTCCTCAATATCACACAAATTTCACGGGAATATTCCCTCAGTACCATACGAATGTCACACCAATGTTTAAGGAATATCTCTGTGGAATGTCACCGTGAATATCACAATATTTATTTAAAACAAAAGGCAATGGATTTGCCCACTTTATAGCAACTAAAGGCATTACAAAAAATATTATATTTTTCTAGGTAAAGATTCAGCTGCAATGTCAATTATTTAAAAATATAAAGGAAAGGAAAAAGAAAATAAATAAATTAATAGAATGATATAAAGAAGAATCAATTAAACAAATTAATAGAACGATAGTTTAGAAAGAAATTAGAAATATTTTAAAACAAACATTTTATTCATGCAAATAAACATATATTTTAATACAGAAACATACATTATTGTATTTAATATTTTTGATAATTCATTTATTAACGATTCAAATATATAGATTTAAGAGGAGAGACCGGTAATATTCAAAACAATTTAAAATATTACTGCTTAAAGTTGTCAATGTTTTTTCTGAAAATATTGAGTATTTAAAACTATAATATACTATGGGAAATTAAAAAATATTACTTCATTAATAATTTTTAAAATAAAACTCGAAATTTTCAAAAATAAAAATTTAAACTTCTGTTTCTATTATTTTCCAATGCAGATATCCCTATTAGGACCAATTATATACTTTGATGACCATTTTTTTATTTTAATTTAATTATTAAAACTAAAATAATAATAATAATAAAAACTATTAAAAAAATAAATTTTTTTTTAATATTATTAATTTTTTTAATTATTATTAAAAATTTTAATATTGACTAATTATTGGCTGCCAATAATTTGCCAATGATGGTTTTTTTATTGGCTTCCATCATTGGGTCAATTAATACGCCAATGGTTACTCGTGGCAGTTTCTCATTGGGTAAATTTTTTTCTTATTTTTAATAAATCAGAATTTATATACTGAAGTTTATAGATCCAAAAACATAAGTAAACCCAAAATTTTAATATTATATGTATCAGAAATTTATAAATCTGAGTAATATTTAATAGGCATGGATAAGAGTTCATTGAGTTTATTTGCCATGCAAGCCAACTTCTTCTCATCTGTAAACTCATCTATATTGTGGTGCATTTCCACACACCATCCTTGAGTTTTACCAATTGAAATTTCATAGACATTATCTACTTTAAACTGTAAGCAATTTGTTATTACTTGATACGAAAATAATAAACCAGGAATATCAACATTCACTAAACCCACATGATTATACATTTTAATTTGCACTATCGTCGGCTTTTCGGAAGATGTCATTCGATGATTTTCAAATTCTGTGAATATTCTATGTTTATCTTTATGAAATATTTTTGGATTTACACAGGAATAATAATCATTATTTTGCACTTTTGATTTAAAATAATTTATTATATTCTCGTCAAGTAATTCAAAGCGAAAAATCGTATATTCACTTTTGTTTATTGGAAATTGTCTAAGTCCCAGTCTATAAAAAGATGCGAATAATCTATTTTTCATTATGTGGTTTTCTGCAAAATTTTTATAATCTTGAAGTAAAAACAATACATAATAATCTTCAAATCGCATAGAATAATAAAGTGAGGAAATGCTGTAAAATTTAAATATTTCTTCTATATTTATGTTATGGTTATCATATAATTCATTGATTCTTATTTTTGCTTCATTTAATGATTTGATTTCATCTAATTTATCATTAAATAATACATCATCAATGTATTTATTTCTTATTATCTGAAAATCATTATATTTAGGAAGAACTTTCATATGATGATAATAATCTGTGGCAAATTCATCATAACTTGGAACAAGAGTTGTACTTTTATCTCTTAAAATGTAATTCATTAAAATTTTCTCTGATAATTCTAGCGTATGTAATGGTACATTCATTGTTAAAAACCGTGCAGCATTTCTGATATAGAACATCCTTTGATGCCAATTGTATTCATAGTATGTAGGGTACAAAAAGTTATTTAAATTACTCACCACGTTCATCGTTAATTTAATGTGTAGAACTTTATTGTGATGAGTAAGGTGAGCAAGTTTTACACGAAAGAAGACGTTGGGAAATGTAATGTACTCATCAACAAATTCAAAGTTAAATTTATGTAAATCCACAAATCCATTAAGCGAAATATCATACAAGTGATAACGAATTTCTGTCATTGATGATGATTCTTCCAATGTTTCAGCAATAAATGGATCTGGAGTACGCTTTGTCAAAAGTGTTATATCATTGAAATGAAATTCTTTTCCTTTCATTTTGAGCAAAAAATGAACTACTGCTTTTGAATATGTGGTTTGGATATACCATAAATCGCTGATTTCTTCATTTAGTTGCAAATTATTGTTTTGATTTAAAGCCAAAGAAAACATCAATTGTTTAAATCTGTAATTTCGCATACTAAAAGCAAAACCCTGATTTTTAAATAAAAATATTTCCCTTACTGTCTCATGGTAATTCGAATTTTCAATTCTGCTTAAATTTGGTGTTCTAAACTCACTTAATGACGTTTTCGGTATATCGTCAGAATTGTCAGTATCAGTAAAATCTATTGGCTGTGCATTTAATTCATTATCTATTCGCATTCTTTTTGGATGATTTCCATTTGTTTTATCACCTGCACGCTTATTTCTTTTACGAACCATGTTCATTATCCTCGTGTCTTTTTCCGACTCTGGGAAAATTTTCAAAATATCATTAAGAATTTTTTCAATTCCC